CGGTCATTCTGAGGGATCAGGGAGGACCCCCAGGGGAGCTGAGGCGGCTCCAGCGCTCAGTTACCCTTCCTGAGGCATGCAGGCTTGAACATAGGTGGGTGCTCTATGAGACAGCAAAACTGATAGCTGAATTTGCTGACAAGCTTTCTTCTACTGAGCTGGTAACAGAACTAAAGGCTTCTGCCATTAATGTCACCCAGAAGTGCACGGATGAGTCTTGGAAGCATTTGGAAGCAGTAGGCAAACGGCTGATGAAAAGCCCTGAGGCTAAGGGCCTCACGATGCCTATAGAAGATCAGATATACTTTGCCAAGCGTACCATAACCCTTCTGCTGCACATTATACTGGAACATATACAGGAAGCTTTTACAGGCTTCATAGGATAAGGAGAGCCTGTGAGGCATCATATTTCCTTTCTCAAATGTCTCCGATAGGACTGTACCCAAGGACTGAGCACAACAAGTCGTTAGAAATGGACAGAAGTATGCTATTCTTTTGATCCTAGAGCTAAAAGACATGTGACCGGAGCCAGCTTTGTCCCCTCTCTTAGCAAGTCCTAGCCCCTATTTTTTCGCCTAATTTCTCTCTCTTTCAGTTGTCGAATACTGTGGATTTATTATGTACTAGACGTGAAGGATATTGTGACCTTTCCCCATTCATGTGCCATTCACTTTCTAATTGCCCAACTGGATACTGTAATTTGCTTAAGTTAATTTTTAAACTGAAAAGAGAAATTAAAAGTTGCTTCTATATCAGAATCACAGTTACTTGATCTCTCTTAACTCCGGGTCGCCATGGCTTCTTTTGTGAACTAGCGATAGAATGTGGCAGGGACATGTTGGAAATACCAAGGTCTTTTGGGGCTGAGTGTGTGACAAGGGGACAAGGTTCAGTCAGTACAAATGGACAAACATTTGTAGGAGTCATGCCCTTGCTGATCACTGGGGAAAGCAACCATCTTCCCTCCTCATGGGACAGAGAGCTGGGCAGAGTGGGTCTAGACCTACTAGAGCAGTCTCACTTCTCACTGACTGGATTTTGTGGTAATTTGGGGCCCCATAACTGCATGAAATGAGGTCCATGTGAAGCAGAGGAAGTCCCTGGTGATCTGGATGGGGAGACCAAGAAGAGAAATAAGGTCCCATTCCTCATTCCAGGCCCCAAACTTAAAACAAAGAGAGGCTGGGGGTTGTTGGGTAAGATGTCCTCTGACTGAACCCTGGGCTCCTTCAGACCACAGCCCAAGGGAAACAGTTTAAGTGTTGTCTTCCAGTCTAGCGTAGTCCGATCCAGCTAGGCTTCACCGAGACCCATCATGACCTGCTCCTTTACTGCCTCCTGCTGTACCTTGTGGTTGTCTCTTCATGTGGCACCCAGAAAAAGACCTTGGTGCCTTTTCCCTCCTCTCTGGGGATCTGGCCACCCTCTGCAGGCTCTTGGTTTTGCCAGATTCTGCTCCCAAAGCCCTTGCCTGGCCTCACCCACTTTGTCCTCCACCAAGCACGTCTCTGGAGCAGGCTGATCACCAGCCTGATTCCTAGACCCTGAAGCTTCATCTTTACAGCCAGAGAATATGAAAGCAGTACCAGGTGCCACACGGACAGCAGCACAGAGATGGGCTTCGCAGGGGATTCTCTGGTCTCTGTTCTGCAGCTAGTAGGCAGGGAACCTGCCTAATACAGGGATACAGGAAAGAAAGATATGCCTTCTCTACCCTAGAATGTTAGTATGAGCAAGAGCAGTGTGGTCCAGCTGTTGCCAGCAGTGGGAATGTGCTGCAAAGTCAGGCACAGCTTTGTACTCTGCTGTCTTTTTTTTTTAACATTTTTTATTGATTTATAATCATTTTACAATGTTGTGTCGAATTCCAGTGTTCAGCACAATTTTTCAGTCATACATGTACATATACACACTCATTGTCACATTTTTTTCTCTGTGAGCTTCCATAACATTTTGTGTATGTTTCCCTGTGCTATACAGTATAATCTTGTTTATCTTTTCTACAATTTTGAAATCCCAGTCTATCCCTTCCCACCCAGTACTCTGCTGCTTAGAACTACTTTAGTAGACTAAGGAGTGAGGCTGAGATGGGGCCATAGACCTGAGCTGCAGCCTTCTGATGATCACGCTAAGGTTGTCTGGGGCCCAGGGGTTACTGGTGAGTTCTGTGCTTAAACCTGCAGTGAAGGCTGGGGTTCAGCAGCTGATCCAGTATTACTATGAGAAAGAGGCAAATACCCCTCTGTCAGAGACTGAGGAGGAGGGGTTGGGAGGCACCACAGATGTTAATTGCCCAGGGGTGACAGACAACAACCATGACATCAGAGGACAAGGGTCCTGAAGAAGTGAACTCAGCTCCTACTCATTGTGGGCCTTATTCAAGGACACTGTTCCTAGGAATCTTACACTTTGTATAAATAAAGGGGTTACACACAGAAGAAATTAAAGTGAATTAAAAATTATCACCAACTCCTTTGTCCTAATCCTCAGATATGGAATGAAATATTCAACTATGAGTATGTCACTCTGTCATTATCCATGCTAGTGAGGAGAACCCTCTTACCTCAAAAAAAAAGTTTTCCTTCATAATAAAATTGTGTGACTCCTTAAATCACATATATGCTTTCTTTATTCTATTAGGTTCTGTGTACTGTAATAAGTCTAGGTTTCCCAAACAAAGATCCGATGGCCCCAGCAGCAAGAATGCTGCATAGCCCAAGAGATCTTTCTTCGATGTGCTAATCCATGCATTGAAAATCAGAGGTGACATAAATCTTAACAGTCTTCGCTGAAATTCCAGGTGGTTTGAATGAGGATGATCCTCTGATTAAGGAAGGGAAGAGGGACCTGGGGGTGAATTAAAGCCAATTACAACCTTAGGAGTTTTATGACTTCTTGCACAATTTCTAGACCACAGCTATCCAACAGAACTTTGAAGGATGATGGAAATGTTCTGTATCTGTGCTGTCCAGTATGGTGGATGCAAGCCCCATATGTCCATTGGGCACCTGAAATGTCAGTAGTGCGACTGAAAAACTGAATCTGTTTCTTTCCATGTTTTAAGTTATTATTCATAGTTTTAATTCTTGGTATTACAGGACAAGGTCTCTAGGTGTTACAGACTGAATTGTATCCCCCTCAAAATTCATACGTTGAAACCCTACCCCACAGTGTGACTACATTTGGGGAGGGGGCCTTTAAAGAGGTAGTTAAGGTTAAATGAGATCATAAGAGTGGGACCGTAATCCAATGGGACTGGTGTCATAAGAAGTGGAAGAGACAGCAGGAATGCATACACGCAGAGGAAAGGCCATGTGAAGGCACAGCCAGAAGGCAGCCATCTGCAAGCCAAGGAGAGATATCTCAGGACTAACTAAACCTGCCAATTCTGTGATCTTGGACTTCTAGCCTCCAGACAGTGAGAAATAAATTCCTTTTGTTTAAACCACTCAGTCTATGGTATTTTGTTATGGAGTTCTCACAGACTGACACATTAAGTATGGATCTTTTTTCAACTATTTTCTGGTATCCTGTGAGTCCACTCAATCCGAAAAATTTTTCTTCTTCATTCCCCTCCTCCAAAAAGAACCTCTTATAACTGAAGAAAATAATTTTCTCACTTCTCTTTTTTTAGTTTAGTTTTTTTAAATTGTGGTAAAAAACACATAACATAAAATTTACCATCTTAACCATTTCTAAGTGTACAGTTCAGTTGTATTAGCTATTCACATTGTTGTGCAGCCCGTTTCCAGAACCTTTTCATCGTATAAAATTGCAAATCTACCCATTAAACAACAACTCCCCTTTTCTACCACCCCTCAGCCCCAGCAACCACCCTTCTACTTTCTGTGAATTTGACTACTCTAGATCTTTTCCTCCTCATTGCAATGTCCTTGTCATCTTTTCTAAAACATACCTCAGCGGCCTCAGGGCCATGCCACCCACACACCTAATTTACACTGGAGTCATCCTCATCTTGGGCTACTTTCCCTTCTCCAAAAGCAGGCTTTTTTCATGTTTCTAAATTGCTGGTTATGCCAGTCCCTCTACTGGAAGGTTCCAATCACACACATACACAGACACACACACATACACACACACACACACATCGCAGTTGTCTTCCTGATAAATCTCTACCTTCAAGAGTCAGCTCAATGGTCACTTCTTTTGAAAAGTGGTCCCTGTTACCCTTTGAACCTATGGAGAAAATGTGGCAGCTGGGCTCTGTTCATTGCACTGCTATAGCACC